TTTTTTTTTTTTTTGCAAAAATGTTCTATTTAAGTATCTAAACATTCTAACGGACAATGTTTTTACCTTATTTTGTACTTATTTTCAAGTATATTCTGTGTTTTTATTGTCGTTAGTGTCAAACAGAGTACAGAGGGAGGTTACGGTTCGGGCTTTTTGCTTCCGAAGCATGACGAAGCCTCATAGCTTAAAACTAGGGCAGCACTGATATCAGAGACCTAGTTAGCTGACTGTTCAGGTTCAGAGTTGTTGCTTTTAGGAAAATATGGCCGTGTTCCTTAAGGTCTCAGTGTTATTTAGTTTTATTACTTTATTACCTTTGCATGCTTCTTGTGAAGCAGGACGGTGTTTACAGCAGCGTGTACAGGCGGATCAGCTGCTCGGCTGTCTGGCTCTGGTCTGCTCTTTCGGGCTGAATACATTCGTGATTCCATGGAAATAACTCAGGGACAGCTCCTTTATTTACCATCCGTCTCTCTCCGGTAGTTTTAGGCTGAAGAAGCTGATCCGGAGTGAAGTGAAGGCTGCAAACTTTGCTTTAGCTTTATAACTGGTAGCAAAGAATATTTGCAATTCAGGATCGCTTGGAAATCCATGAAAACTTAAAATCCCATTATATTTGGAAGACGACAATGTTCATGGTATTGCTTTATGTGCTTCTGAAATACGACTTTGTCTTTCCTAGCTGTCATGGTAACTCAAAGAGGAAGCAAGAAAACCACATTTCGCTCATGCGGATGTGACGTCAGTGCCGTAGGTAGCAAAGAGCCCATTAGCTAACTAAAAAGTTTTGTTTTCCTGTGTAAAATGTTTTGGTCCTCCCACAGCAGTACTGAAACGCTTCACTGATGATTGCGACAAGAACACTGTCCGGTATCGGAGCAGTGTTTACCTCTGCAGCACATGAGGCAAACAGGGTCATCGAAAAAGCTTTCCACGCTGCTGCCTTTATAGTTTTCCAGCATGGACCACATTGATTCCCGATACATGTGTCAGCAGACAGAGGGATTTGTGCCACGCAGCAGCAGACTGTTGAGCAGAGAGTCAGAGACGAAGCACAGAAGCGGCACTTGCAGTATGGCATGCGAATGTGCAGCTGGGTGTGATGCAACAAATCAACATGCAGCGGCGTTTTCGCTTCGATTGTTGCGCAGGAACGTTGCGTCACCACAAAACGCTGTGTTTTATAGAGCTGTCGGAGCAATACGAGGGGAATACCTGTGAAAGTTAGCTTTCCTACTGGCTAGCTAAAGGCTATAGGTTTTATTTTGGTTGTAAGAGAAATAATAAATTTTGTCTTACTGACATTTAAAAAAACAACAACAACTTATATCCCATTTATCAGTGTGTCTCTGTGATGTCTTGCACCCTCCAAAGAATCCCCTCGCTGCTGTCGACAAACAAATGCACCTCTCTCCTCTCTCAACTGATGTTAGCTCATTTTCAGGTTGTATAACTAGCTAGTGTTTTCCTGCTGTACTACTTTCCTGTTCCCAATTCCCAGTGATGCATTCATATTTTTGTCACCTTATCTTGGCAGCGAAGAACATGAATATACTGGTAACTTCGATTTTCAAACTTACCTGAGTTGCTTGTCAAATGTGACGGTTTTATGATGGACTGGAAAACCTATCCAGGCATCACTCAGCCTCTGGTGGGAAAACAACTGCCTCCGTGTAATACTGAGCACTATAAAGTGTGTATGGAAAATGCATTTGTAAAGGTGAATCGTGTATATTTGAAATATTCAGTCTACTGTGGCGGCAGCAAAGCATTCGTTCATCTTTTTCATAATACTCTATAGGGCTGTTGGTGTTTCAGAGTGGGTGTAGGTAAAGCACATTTTGTTCTTCAACTGTAATCAGTTGCTTTTCTCCTACTACATCTTTGAGCATTTTTCCGCGTCTTTCTCCAAAAAAAAAAAAAAAATCATGTCAACACAGATGAAATTTGGGACGACCGAACCAAAACTCGTACGATAACCACATACCAGAGTCGAGAACAGACGAGGGTAAGCCACAAACCGCAGAGAAGAAGCATCCAACTGGGCCGTGTACACAGTGTTCTCTCTGCAATCAGCCAGAAAAGGTCAAGCAATGCTTTGGTGCAAGAGACGGGGAATAGCAAAGGAAGGTAGCGGCACGCCGAGGAAAGAGAAAGCTGACATTTTCCTTCGAGATATTGTTTGTAAAAGCCTCAAGGAATCAACTTTGTCGTTTTATGTGGAACAAAAAAAAAAGATGTACTACCTAAAAATGCATTGAAAAACAAAACAAAACAAATATAGATTCGACCAGCAAGCTGTAAACTGTACTCGCTTTCCTTTAAATGCTCGGCGAAGAAGAAGGGGCATTAATTCCTGCTGCGTAAAGATAAATGTGATTAAATCTAATGGGATATATATGGTTCAGCTATCTAAGATTATTACTACTATTATTCCAAAGCGAAGAACGGTTCACGTTGTGTTTTACTCGTAATTACAAAGCAGAAAGTCAGGAACTGAACAGCAGTAAAATGGAGATTTGTCCCATCAGCAGATTTCCACGCATCACTTCAAAACCACAGATTAAGGAGAATGTTCTTCAACTATTTATAATTAGCTACCCTTTAATTTCTGCTTATGCCATGGCTTTCTAGAGCTGATATACAAACAGAACACGCACAAAATGACAACCGGTTTATTGGATGTGAATCGACAAGAATTAAAAGCGAACATGTTCCTGTCGGTGTATGCATTATTTTTTTCCTCTGCTTCCCTTCCCCACCTGTGCCCGGACAGAGGCTGAGAAAATGCTGACACAGTTCGGGTTGGGGGGGGGGGACGGCATGTCGACGGGCTGCGGGGGCCGACCGTGGAGCAACAATAAAACTCACATTAAAGCTAAAGGTGTCACTGTGACCTGCTGCGAGGAGCTGAGCTTGCACCGATCACGAGAACACAGCTCCATTACGGATCACGGTGTCGGCTGCAGGAGACGCGAGAGAAGATGAACCGAGACGATGCGAAAACGATGCGAGAGGGAATACAAAAACAAGCCACTCAGTTTATCTCGCTAATTCACTGTAAATCCTAACATGATACAGCAAAATCTGCTCTTCCACAAACAAGTCATCGAAAATCCAGACAGATTAAAAGACGTTAAAAGCACACAAGCTTCTGATTGAGAAACTGTAGAGCACATGTCACTGTCTGTAGCTTATAAGGAATCCACTCCCAGCTTTTTCCACTGCCCTGTTTGCACCAGTCCAGACCCAACCAAGCAGTAGAAGAAGAAGAACATGGCATTTATGAGTGGAAAACTGCTGTATATAAATGATCAAAATAAGACAAAAAGTAAATTGTACCACTTTATTTGAAGGGGTGTGCATAAGACTGACATGACTCTATCATAAACATGACATAACACCTGTTATGAACATGACAGAGTCTTTATGACTGTTGTCATGAAGTGTCCTTCGGTAAATAACGACACTTTTCATGTAAAGTTGCATTAAAAGTCAATTAAAAGTGCCAACTTTGCATTAAATTGTATAAATTTGCAAAAATAATGCAAAGTTGGCACTTTTAACCTACTTTTAATGCAACTTTTAAAGCAACTTTGCATTAAAAGTATTATTTACCGAATGACACTTCATGATAACAGTCATAAACATTCATAAAGTCTTTTTCGTGTTCATGATGTGGCAGAATGAACATTAGAAATAATTACACCTCCTCCCTTTTCTTAATTTATTTAAAGACTTCTGTTTGACTGCAGAAATTATTTTTAAGCTGCACTTCTATTCGGACTGAGGCATTAAACTGTAGCTACAGCAGTTCGCCACCAGTGGGCGCTCACTGTCACTCTTGTCTGAGTTAACAGTTTTCAACAATAAAAGAACCTGTGAAAATCCCACTGATTTAATTATTAAGTGTGCAACAATGACAGGTATTATATTTATGACAGCATCACATCAGTCTTACAAACACCCATTCATGTAAAACGTTACCAAGTATGGAAAGCTGGAAAGACCCTGGATGACTGTTTTGGCCTTACTTGAAAAAAGCTTGATCTGAAATCTACCTTGAAGTAAATTACAAATAACTGGTTTAACCAAAAACCTAAATCTAACTTGGATAACAGAATGGTCCCCTTACAAATCAGTGAGAAGGGGCCTAACGCTGAGCCCTGTGGAACCCCACACAAGAGACGATCATCAAGATCTAAAGCATTGCTGGTTTACCAAAGTCTTGACGTGCAACCAATGTTGTTTAGTTGTTGTTTTTACAAAAGTATTATTTATCTTAGCAGGTTTAATTTTTAGAGTAAAAATTTTGCACAGCTTTGGTTGACAGAGTACCGAGCTTTGCAACCTGGCTTTTGGATTTTAAACCTGCCTTTGGATGGAGCAACGTCGGCGAGGTGTTGCCGCACACATTACCGTCAACGCAGCAACTTATTCCTCGTGCTGACTCCAGCAACATTTAAGTTTCAGTTTGACTTGGTGTATCTCTGTTTACCCTGTTGTAGAAACAGAAACATGACTCTCTGTTTAATAATTTAAGAGTGTTGCACAGAGCACCGTTAAGACGGGAAACCTTGGGTAACTGACATTTATGTAGACAAGATATTACAGCTCAACTCAACAGGGAAAACTACTCACTGACAGCTTGAGAAGCATCATAAAGAACCCGACGGCTCTAAAAATCTCCAGATCTTGGCGTGGCAGCACATGTCTAAAAATGCCTTTGGAGGAAACGAGTTATTTAAAAGTTTCACCTTAAGTCGCACAAGATCTAAGATAATCTGCTTTCAGCGGACAACAAATATCCCCAGATTCTGTCCTGATGCCTAGACGGTGCAGGAGTTTTCACAGCTTAGCCTTTTCATGTTTGAGACTTTAAGCTAAAAAGTTAGGGATGAATTCTCTTGAGATTGCAAAGATTGACCCAAATTTCTCAGCAATCCAGTCACTTTAAGCGGGTTGGATCCGGGATAGCCGCCTGGAGCGAGACGGAGACGATGGGAGATTGCAAAGACAAATGGATGAGAGCTAAGAGTTGTGTAATCTGCGGGAGAGATAACAGGGTGTTAGGCCGAGGAAGAATAAAGTGAGAAAATAGGTGAGACTCTATATTTAGCCGAGCAGCTTCTGTTTGGAAACTTGCAGAAGGTGGAGGATCTGTTGAGACTTTCTTAGAAAAAGAAAAACCCTTCCATGTAGACAAACATACACGTTCTGTTAAATGATATGCCACAATTGGCGCAGAACAGATCAACATCCTACCACTTAATGCCCAGGAGAGCGTCTGCCAGCTCCGTCTCATGGCTAGGACTCATTACATTAATGTGATCATTATTCAGACGTTGACCTTATCAGGTGGTGATTTATTGCTGAATACCCTGCAGTATTATTATCATCATCCCTTCCAACCTCGCCGAGTTGGGCCGCCGTATCTCTGTATCAAATTAGAATCACTTCGTCATTAGAGTCTCTGTTAGCAATATTGCAGGACAAGGCGGGTCGTAATATAAACATTACCAGCAGGTTATGGCTTCTACTTTTCAGGCCTGCAAACTTCAAAATATTAGAAATTCAACCCTGAATTTAAACTCCCTAAAAGTGCATTAAATACTTCATACTGTCTGGTGAAAATTTGTTTTTTGGGATGCACCGATTTGAAAATTTGGCCCACTATCAATTGCCAATAACCAATATTTACCCAAATTACACATATTTTAAATATTTCCCTACATTTTAGACTGCATGAGTGCGACCTCACGTTGCATTTCAGCTAATCGCCACATAACCCTGTGCTGTAACATGACTCTTTCCCTCGCAAAACACAAACAAGGCAAAAATATGGAAACAAACAACAAGATAGAAAAATCAACAGGTCCAGGTTTACCTATTGGCCGATGCTGACACTCTTAAGACTTGATTTGAATATCTAAGTCATGTAACGGATCAAAATGTTGGCGTTTAAAAGTAAAAAAAAAAAAAAAATTGGGCACGATTGGTCAGAATTATGATGGTGACGATTGGTGAAAAACAACATAACAAAAATGTTGTTAAGTTTAGAAGCTGAATTAAAATGGATTGGTGGAAATTAAGACTGGAAGGGGTTTGATGCGAATTAGCAACAATAGTCTTCAAGGGTAGAAAGTCCAAACTTTTTTACAAAGAAAACAAAAAGGGCATTGATAATGATGTCTCCTGTAAAACATGTGTACATATACCATAATTTCTTGAATATCTGTGTATAATCCACAAACACTAAAAAGATAAATCCTGAATTTTCAGTATTAAGTGTTCAGGGAAGTAAAGATCAAAAATCATGCAGTAAGAGGTGGAATCAAACTCTTTGACCGTGACAATGAAATTAATGTAACTGGATGCGATCTGGCCCCGTTTTGCTCTCGAAGTGCCGTGGGAGGACTTTCGATGGGATTTGGTGCCACATAAATTGAATTGCGTTGAAGAGCAGCCAGAAAAGAAATTAAGAGATATAAAACAACAACACGTCTGAGCCTGAAGGCGGGAAATGCACTGCTGGTTCTAACACTCAGGTTGTTGTTTTTTTTTCTGGTTCTCACCCCGACACTTACTGCTCGCGTTGATGATCCATCTACAAGCAGAAGAACTGTAGCCTGAGGCAAAAGTAAGCTGCACAGTATGTTGTTGCTTTCTTTTGAAACAATTATCCTAACAAATGAAGTGAATGAGGCCTGCGTTTGGTCTCCTATTTATAGCGTGTTTGCACATACTGCAAGCTAAATATGATAAATACTTATGTAAGTTATGTAGTTGGTTCCTGTTTTCCCGTCTCAGACGGTTGGACACCATGTTGTTGTTGTTTTTTCTAGTTTCCATAGTAATTGAGTGCCACTGATCCTGTTGTGGCATGAAGGGCAGACGGTTCACTGCTTCCTAAAGAAGATGAAAACAGACAACAGGCTCAGCTCCCCGACCCCGACACGGGGGATGCTTCAGCCAAGCGGGGCCTTAAAGGACAAAAACATCAGAAAGCGTACACGTGATCACTCACTGGGCTATTACACAAGATGTGGATCTTGAGGAATCGGAAACGATAGCAGTAACAACTCAGAAGCAGAAATTTGTCAATTATTTGTTGCACTTGGAAAACTCAGTTGGTTTAATGTAATTCGAAAACATTGCTTTCCCTTTTCTGGCTTTATCAGATGTAAATAGTTTCATGTTCCTGACTTACCAATTATTTGGTTCACCTAAATAACTATTTCCACATTCCATAGATTTACATCTTACCTACAGCTATTTTAGCACACAACTCATGATTAAGAATACTAATTAATGTCACTATAAGCAATGTAGTCCTCAAAGCGTAGCTGCTTAACAAAATACAGAAACACACTCTGGGTTTACGCAAACACAATCTCAATGTGAGGAAGCAGTTTGTTTTTCCTGTGTTGAACAAGAAACGCAGTAAACCATGGAAGACATGGAAAAAGAGTAAATATCCATAACTTGTTTTAGATCACACAGCCTTGCTTCTACATCCAGCTGTAAGATCATCTAGAAGGACAGCATGTGAGGGAAATGATCAACAAAGCCTATGTAAACACAAGGTGAACAAGCTAGCATTAGCCTAGACGCTAGGCTAATGCTAGGCCACCAGTAAACATTTCCCAGTGAGGCAGTGCAAATTGGAAGCTTAGACTTTCTCTAGTGGATTTTATTCAATTACATCTTCTTTTCTGCCATCTTAAGCTCTCAGTTGCTAAAACATTTTACTGGTTTTATGCAGAAATGAAACACACCTGACCCTCATCGGGCTGTACCATTTGAAGATAGGTGAAACCGCGCAAACACAATCCAAAGAAACAGGAATAGATTATTAATTTAAGTTGCAAACTTGTCTACACAAGTAAATGGCTTGCAAAATAAAAATACACTTTATATAGTGCAGCTTGAAAGTTTACTTTAAAGAAAAAAATAGGATGCAAAGAAAAAAAAAAGACTTAATTTGGTTGTACCCAGTGATGTAATCGATGACATCATGACCCTATGCAAACAGGAAGTGTTGGGTCGGCCTTTCCTGCGCTCCCGTTCTGAACAACGGGACAAACAATTTTGACTTTATGCAAACATTAACTTGGCAGAAACGTAACTTTTAAAGCAAATTTAAATTCACTGACGATTTAGTAGCGTTTAAAAGTTTATCCTTGGACGAAACCCATGACGCAGACTAACAGCAACGTGAAACTAAAGCATTATGAATAAATAAGATTGCATTTTTTTTGAGCACTTGTTTCTGAAACATATTCATAATTTACTCAATCTCAACCACTGTCTCACACTCCCTCAGAAAGACTTTTCTAGCAGTTCTTTGGAAATAAACGACAGATTTGATGCATAATTCATATAAAATGTTGTTAGAACATCCAGATGATCCCATATTAAAGGGAAACTGTCCAGAAACTCCAGGAGGATGAAATGTCTGTATATATCCAAATAAACAATAGTTGGACCACAACCACAAAAATATTACGTCCTGATGAAGCTTATGTGAATTCCTATTTTACTAATATGTTGAAAACTGTATCAGTTAATCATACAGTTTAAAATAAACGATGTGACTATGCAGGTGAAAATCCGTGTCCTTACTTTGTAAAACATTCAATTCTGACTACTTACATCAGAAAACATTTAATTTTGAGAAAATGTATTTACATTTGGTAAAAAGAAAATTAAACTAAATAAATAAAAGAATGAACTACAGGTTTAGGGAATTAACGGAAAGCAGAATGGGACAATTTCAGTTCATTTTGCTGGCAAATGATCATGTCTAAATAGAAATTTCTTACAAAATGTTGAGGGTTCATTATTGAAAAGTGACTTAGGGTTATACAGAAAATTGCTGGGATGAAGTTTTGTTTGTAACTTTAGGGTAAATTTAATAAAACCAAATTATTTTAGTTATTTCAGATCCTTGACCTGGTAAGAACTAAGCTTGAAAATTGAGAACGACTCATAAATTATTACCTCTGTTAGCACATCTTCACCAACGTAAACTCTGTCTTAGAGGCATTAAAAGCAGTGAGAGGGAAAATACTTTAGCTTAAAAGCTAATTAGATGTTTTTTTTATTTTTGACATTTGAAATGATGTGTCTTGTCAAGGATAGGTTTGTCATTATAACAAATTTTGCCGGATGATAATTTGTTCCAGAAGTTATTGCGATAAACGCTAATATTGTTGTTTTGACACAGTTTTTAAGTAATATAATGGTAATGGCAAACATAAAAATGCACATTGTAAAAGATCAGTAAACTTTAAATTCTAATGAACGTTTAACACCGGAACTGGAAGACATGCTACATACCCAAAATAAATAAACAAATAAAATGCATGTTGAAGACTTTGTGCATAAAATTGTCCAAACTGACGACTTTTATCATCCAGTTTTTGGCATAAAAGAGATAAACGATAAATCATGCGATTAATTGATTTATTGATCACTGTGACAGGCCTAGTCAAGGAAAACTGTTTCAATGAAAACAACACGGATTCAAGATGCCTCCCACTGTTTGGGTGATTTACTCAAAAAGTGCCTCATTGTCAATTAACAGGATAACGTTTTGGCTGTAACAAACCGTCAGGTCTCGGGGGGGACCTCTGTGCACGCCGCTTTGGCGTCGTCTTGAAACTGCCTTTGGAGGTCTGATTAATTCACATTCTGTCACTAATTAATTTTTCACCCCTAATTAAGCCAAAAGGCACCTTCTTCCCGCACAGCTCTCTCCGTCCCTTGGCGTTTCTTCTTTTTGCTGCTCCTCGGTCTTTCCGCTTTTATCCAGGAGCTCCTCCAACGAGCTGCGGCGGCTCACGTGCCCCGCAGCGTCTCCACGGCGGCCAGCTGATACCATGACTGTGTTCTGGTGCCCTCAGGACTGTATGCAATATCTTAACTGCTATTTATACCTTTAAATGATTCCTCCAACAGGGGGGATGTTATTAACATGATGTCAAATGTAATCACGCTCTAAATCCCAAAGCAGCACTACACAGGTAATGGTAATAAAAGTCAATTATGGGAGAAAAAACAAAAAACACCCTCTTTCAAGTCCTTGCGTGTTTTTATGCATCGGGATATAAAGGAAAGGAAACTGAACAAAAACAGATTCTACCATTTTGTCGCACATTAAACAGAAACTAAAGAAAGTGTGAAAAACACTGGAAGCCAAACGAGTCAGTGTGTTAAAAAAGAACATCTTTGAGTTCGCCGCCGGACCGACTTGTGTTTATGCCACCAGGATCTCTGGTACATGAAGAATCAGACGCAGGCGGTGTGTCTTGGACTTAATTGTCACCTGTTGACATTTAATTTGCTAACAGAGGTTTGCAAAGGTTTTCTTACTGTATCTCTGAAGTTGCTTTGTATAGTTATCTTCAGGTGAATTTGCTGGAAACACTGAACAGTTCTAAGTGAATCCCCACGTTGGTGTTTACTCACCTGTGTGCTCCAAATCTTTAAAAAGCTGCTGAATCTTTTTCTCTTAAGGACACGGTGACACTTTCTAATAATCGGCTAGCATGAAGAGCTACTTGGTATTATTAATGTCAGGGAAGCATTAAGGATTGGCCAAGATTTTAACACACAACTTTTCCATCTTAGCTACATATTTGTTTAATAAGAAATGACAGAATGGAGAATACTCTCAAATATTGAACATCAACCGGTATTTTTGATGTCCAACTGTTCAGCCTGAAATCTTGACCAACCTTGCATAACAAAACATCCTGAAAATGTAATTATTGTTTAGATATATGGAAATATACGTAAACCTAAGGTATTCCTTTGCTCGATACCATGCAAAACAAACACACGGCGTTGCTGTCACAGGGTTCGACACAGCAGCCTGCAGATCGCGGGTGGCTTGTAGATTCATAGTTTAAAACATGTCTGACTTTCATCTCGGGTCGTTTAAATTATAAAGTAACTCAGCATTTACCACCGGCAGGCTGCTGGTGTTGGGGTCTGAAGGCTGTTGTCCAACAGACTTTAATCCATTCAGCTTGTGCTGCTGTTTAGATTATTTATGGTGCTCTCTGTATATGAAACCAGCTAGGATCTTATGAACTGCTTAGCTATCTTCAAACCTCATCCAAAAGGCGTGTAAAATGATTTAATATTCATTAAGTCCAGGTTTTGTGAATCGTTGATCCAGAGTAAACACAAATTAGTATCTTCTAACCCGAATTTACCTCCTCGTGTTTTTTCCTTTCATGCTTTCGACGAAAATATGCGCCTAAAATATCTTATTAGGGTGTTTCTTACTTTTTGTGCACCGGTGTTGAGAGGAAAGTGAACTTTTCAGAAAAGTGCTGGCATCATTATTGTGACTGCTTTTTTTTTTTTTTTTTCCAGGCTGTAAATCATTTGGGAAAAAAAAAAAAAAAAAAAAATCATCATTCAGCAGAAAATTGCTCTTTCCATGTCTATCCTGAGCTGTAGGCTATGACATTCAGACAGAAATGATCACATATAAAAAGAAGAAAACCCCATTTTGGGAGCGGATCACTTTGACATTAAATGCTGGTTGGACATTAATGTAGCCCCGTATCCGGCTCCTGCTCCGGGTAATGAGTTTCACCGTGTTGCTTACTTCTGCACATTACCTGACGATGTTTTTGCTGCTGGACTGAACCATAACAAGCAGACATGTTGGTACTACAGCCAGCATTTGGCACAAAAAACAACTTAACACACTTGGAATATAAAAAAACAGTAATGTATTGAGCATATAATGGACATTTATCACCAAGATAGCATCACAGTGAAAGAAATAATGAATTTTCTGCCTTTGAAAGTCTTA